TGAGGATTTTTGCATCGATGTTCATCAGGGATATTGGTCTAAAATTCTCTCTTTTTGTTGTGTCTCTGCCAGGCTTTGGTATCAGGATGATGTTGGCCTCATAAAATGAGTTAGGGAGGATTCCCTCTTTTTCTATTGATTGGAATAGTTTTAGAAGGAATGGTACCAGCTCCTCCTTGTACCTCTGGTAGAATTCAGCTGTGAATCCATCTGGTCCTGGACTCTTTTTGGTTGGTAGGCTATTAATTATTGCCTCAATTTCAGAGCCTGCTATTGGTCTATTCAGGGATTCAACTTCTTCCTGGTTTAGTCTTGGAAGAGTGTAAGTGTCCAGGAAATTATCCATTTCTTCTAGATTTTCCAGTTTATTTGCGTAGAGGTGTTTATAGTATTCTCTGATGGTAGTTTGTATTTCTGTGGGGTCGGTGGTGATATCCCCTTTATCATTTTTAATTGCGTCGATTTGATTCCTCTCTCTTTCTTCTTTATTAGTCTTGCTAGTGGTCTGTCAATTTTGTTGATCTTTTCAAAAAACCAACTCCTGGATTCATTGATTTTTTGGAGAGTTTTTTGTGTCTCTATCTCCTTCAGTTCTGCTCTGATCTTAGTTATTTCTTGCCTTCTGTAGCTTTCGAATGTGTTTGCTCTTGCTTCTCTAGTTCTTTTAATTGCGATGTTAGAGTGTCAATTTTAGATCTTTCCTGCTTTCTCTTGTGGGCATTTAGTGCTATAAATTTCCCTCTACACACTGCTTTAAATGTGTCCCAGAGATTCTGGTATGTTGTATCTTTGTTTCATTGGTTTCAAAGAACATCTTTATTTCTGCCTTCATTTCGTTATGTACCCAGTAGTCATTCAGGAGCAGGTTGTTCATTTCCATGTAGTTGAGCGGTTTTGATTGAGTTTCTTAGTCCTGAGTTCTAGTTGGATTGCACTGTGGTCTGAGAGACAGTTTGTTATAATTTCTGTTCTTGTACATTTGCTGAGGAGTGCTTTACTTCCAATTACGTGGTCGATTTTGGAGTAAGTACGATGTGGTGCTGAGAAGAATGTATATTCTGTTGATTTGGGGTGGAGAGTTCTATAGATGTCTATTAGGTCTGCTTGCTGCAGAGATGAGTTCAATTCCTGGATATCCTTGTTAACTTTCTGTCTCGTTGATCTGTCTAATGTTGACAGTGGAGTGTTGAAGTCTCCCATTATTATTGTATGGGAGTCTAAGTCTCTTTGTAAGTCTCTAAGGACTTGCTTTATGAATCTGGGTGCTCCTGTATTGGTGCATATATATTTAGGATAGTTAACTCTTCCTGTTGAATTGATCCCTTTACCATTATGTAATGGCCTTCTTTGTCTCTTTTGATCTTTGATGGTTTAAAGTCTGTTTTATCAGAGACTAGGATTGCAACCCCCGCTTTTTTTGTTCTCCATTTGCTTGGTAAATCTTCCTCCATCCCTTTATTTTGAGCCTATGTATGTCTCTGCGTGTGAGATGGGTCTCCTGAATACAGCAGACTGATGGGTCTTGACTCTTTATCCAGTTTGCCAGTCTGTGTCTTTTAATTGGAGCATTTAGTCCATTTACATTTAAGGTTAAGATTGTTATGTGTGAACTTGATCCTGCCATTATGATATTAACTGGTTATTTTGCTCGTTAGTTGATGCAGTTTCTTCCTAGCCTCGATGGTCTTTACATTTTGGCATGTTTTTGCAATGGCTGGTACCGTTGTTCCTTTCCATGTTTAGTGCTTCCTTCAGGGTCTCTTGTAAGGCAGGCCTAGTGGTGACAAAATCTCTAAGCATTTGCTTATCTGTAAAGGATTTTATTTCTCCTTCACTTATGAAACTTAGTTTGGCTGGATATGAAATTCTGGGTTAAAATTCTTTTCTTTAAGAATGTTGAATATTGGCCCCCACTCTCTTCTGGCTTGGAGAGTTTCTGCCGAGAGATCTGCTGTTAGTCTGATGGGCTTCCCTTTGTGGGTAACCCACCTTTCTCTCTGGCTGCCCTTAAGATTTTTTCCTTCATTTCAACTTTGGTGAATCTGGCAATTATGTGTCTTGGAGTTGCTCTTCTCGAGGAGTATCTTTGTGGCATTCTCTGTATTTCCTGGATTTGAATGTTGGCCTTCCCTACTAGGTTGGGGAAGTTCTCCTGGATGATATCCTGAAGAGTGTTTTCCAACTTGGTTCCATTTTCCCCCTCACTTTCAGGCACCCCAATCAGACGTAGATTTGGTCTTTTTACATAATCCCATACTTCTTGCAGGCTTTGTTCATTTCTTTTTCTTCTTTTTTCTTTTGGTTTCTCTTCTCGCTTCATTTCATTCATTTGATCCTCAATCGCAGATACTCTTTCTTCCAGTTGATCGAGTCGGTTACTGAAGCTTGTGCATTTGTCACGTATTTCTCGTGTCATGGTTTTCATCTCTTTCATTTCGTTTAGGACCTTCTCTGCATTAATTACTCTAGCCATCAATTCTTCCACTTTTTTTTCAAGATTTTTAGTTTCTTTGCGCTGGGTACGTAATTCCTCCTTTAGCTCTGAGAAATTTGATGGACTGAAGCCTTCTTCTCTCATCTCGTCAAAGTCATTCTCCGTCCAGCTTTGATCCGTTGCTGGCGATGAGCTGCGCTCCTTTGCCGGGGGAGATGCGCTCTTATTTTTTGAATTTCCAGCTTTTCTGCCCTGCTTTTTCCCCATCTTTGTGGTTTTATCTGCCTCTGGTCTTTGATGATGGTGATGTACTGATGGGGTTTTGGTGTAGGTGTCCTTCCTGTTTGATAGTTTTCCTTCTAACAGTCAGGACCCTCAGCTGTAGGTCTGTTGGAGATTGCTTGAGGTCCACTCCAGACCCTGTTTGCCTGGGTATCAGCAGCAGAGGCTGCAGAAGATAGAATATTTCTGAACAGCGAGTGTACCTGTCTGATTCTTGCTTTGGAAGCTTCCTCTCAGGGGTGTACTCCACCCTGTGAGGTGTGGGGTGTCAGACTGCCCCTAGTGGGGGATGTCTCCCAGTTAGGCTACTCAGGGGTCAGGGACCCACTTGAGTAGGCAGTCTGTCCCTTCTCAGATCTCAACCTCCGTGTTGGGAGATCCACTGCTCTCTTCAAAGCTGTCAGACAGAGTCGTTTGCATCTGCAGAGGTTTCGGCTGCTTTTGTTGTTATCTGTGCCCTGTCCCCAGAGGTGGAGTCTACAGAGACAGGCAGGTTTCCTTGAGCTGCTGTGAGCTCCACCCAGTTCGAGCTTCCCAGCAGCTTTGTTTACCTACTTAAGCCTCAGCAATGGCGGGCGCCCCTCCCCCAGCCTCGCTGCTGCCTTGCCGGTAGATCACAGACTGCTGTGCTAGCAATGAGGGAGGCTCCGTGGGTGTGGGACCCTCCCGGCCAGGTGTGGGATATGATCTCCTGGTGTGCCTGTTTGCTTAAAGCGCAGTATTGGGGTGGGAGTTACCCGATTTTCCAGGTGTTGTGTGTCTCAGTTCCCCTGGCTAGGAAAAGGGATTCCCTTCCCCCTTGCGCTTCCCAGGTGAGGCAATGCCTCGCCCTGCTTCAGCTCTCGCTGGTCGGGCTGCAGCAGCTGACCAGCACCGATCGTCCGGCACTCCCCAGTGAGATGAACCCAGTACCTCAGTTGAAAATGCAGAAATCACCGGTCTTCTGTGTCGCTCGCGCTGGGAGTTGGAGATTGGAGCTGTTCCTATTCGGCCATCTTGCTCCGCCCCCTCTATCCATTTTTTAACTTTCTGTATGTATAATTTATCTTACAATAAAAAGACAAATCAAACTCCACGTTTAGAAACATCTTAGAAATACAATGTGGCCTCTTGGTAACCAGGTAACTCAAAATGTGTCATGTTGCTTAAACTCTCATCCAAACTGTTTTCTTTTATCAAAAATTGAATCAATTTACTGTTTTTACCTCTAATGTGGTTCAATCTCCATTTTTTCCATTTCTTCTACACACACTTTACTGCTTTCATTTGCATTCCAAATATTTTCCTTGAAGTTTTTTGTGGTTTTATTTCTCTCATCATCTCCCACTGTCTCCAATTCTTCCTAATTTCTTTGGACACTTAGGGCCAACTGTTTTCCTATTTCTTTGCTTGGGCTCCCCATCTCTCTCCTCAACTTTCTCTCTCCCCTCATGCTGGTTCCCTCTGTTCTTTCCTGCTCCATATGCTGCCCGCCTCTCACTTCCCCTTTAGCTATAGACAGTCTAAAGCTGCTTATCAGCCTTCTTCTTGTCGACACACAGTTGTTTGCCTGAATAGAGTTGAAGCAATTTCAACCCATCTTTTTCCACCAGTGTCTCATGACTTCGCCCCTGCTCTGCTGCTTACCCCTCCCTCCCCTGCAAGGCTTCAGTCTCAGCAGAACTCTCTCACTTCCTCTCTATTTCCATTTCTTCATCTCTGTCCCTTCTCTAGCAGTTTCCAATATCTCTCACTACCTAAAGTCTGCAGCAGAATCCTCTCTGCTAGGCTTATAATGTAATTAATTTCCTCATAGCTTACTATATGAGCCTAATACTTCTTAGAATGTATGCCCCTCGAGTACAGAAGCCTAAAGTCAAGTCTTAACTATGCAAATATTCAGGGGTGATGTCAAGAGCTAGGAAGGTACATGATGTAGTGAACTGCGCATGGATCTTTAAACCAGTACTTAAGAATGACTCTACCACTAAGTCTTCATTTGAATAAAATGATTTATTTAACCTCTCTGGATCTGTGTCATTTCTGAAATACGGTAGTCAAATTGTGATCTCTTGTTCTAATCATCTTTGCTGAATAACAAATTTCCCTAAATTTAGTAGCACAAAGACACAATCGTTTTATTATTTTCATGAGTTTTGTGGATTGAGAATTTGGAGAGGACACAGTGGCTCAGCTCTTCTCCATTCCAAGATGCCTGGGGCTTGCACGAGGAGACTCAAACAGCCGTAGCTAGACAACATGGGTTGGAAGATCCATTTTCAAGATGACTTCTTCATTCACATACCTGGTAGCCTCTCCAGGTGGACTGGACATCCTCAGTGCATGGTGGCCTCAGATAGTTGGACTTTGTACATGGGACTGAGAACTCCAAAATATGTTGATCCTGTTTGACAGGACAGAAAGAGCATGGCATTCTATAACCTTGGAAATCATATAGTATCCCCTCCACTCTACTGGTTAAAGCAGTTACAAGTTCAGTCATATTCAAGGGAGAAGAACTTGACTTCACTTTCTGATCACTTTCCTGACGTTGTAGGAAATCACGAAGGATAGGAGTTACCGTGGTGGCCATCTGGAAAATTCAACACATTCCTGCATTCCCTTCTAGCTCTAAAAATCTGATTCTATGCCTTACTTAGATTCCCAGTAGATGTTCAATTAAAATGTCTCCTCTACTCTCCAGAGGGCAACTTGAGAAACACAGGCTGTGGGCTTTTTATACACATAACACAGTAAGAGGATAACATGAAACCATTCTTGTTCAAGCATCGAAGTGTGTATCACACACTGAAATCTTGTAAATATAATGTGAATTCAAAGAAGGTGTCATCAAAGGTCCCGTTAGTCAAAGAGAGTCCACAGACTGAGAGAATTTACTGACCCTTAATTGTTCACATTATTTTATTTAATCTTATATTAATCCTGAGCAGTAAATAACGTATTCATTGTTTTGCAGATCAGGAAGCTGCACCTCAGAGTTCTAAAAAATTGACCTCAGGTCCACGGTTAGTCTTATAGGTTTTGTTGCCATATTAGAGGTTGTAGCACAAGATTGAACTGTTTGGAGATGGGTTCTCTGTGTGGAATTTGCTATAACTAAGAAAAACAAAGGGCCCATTCTTTGCTTGGGGGACAATATAAAAAAAAGGCAAGAAGTAGCAGGGAGCAGGATAAATGAGGTGGGAGCAGTGGGCTAAGGAGGGACATTGCCTGGGCTACTCAAAGAGCAGAATTACTACTGGGTTGCAGCAAATCATGAGTTCTCTCTCATGCAGTGATATCCACATATAACAACACATGGAGTTACTCTATTATCAATCAGAGAAAAAGGAGATTTGCAAACCTACACATTTGCCAGTCCCCACAATGGCTCCCAAACACAGACTATCATGCCTAATCTTCTTGTTAATTACTTGTGGTAATGGGGTATAAAGACCTGGTTCTTGCCCATTACCGTGCAAATGATTATTGTTGTACAGCATTTCATATTTCCAAAATATTTGACAATAATTTAGCAGCTACTACTCTTCATCTGCAAAGAGAAAGTGCATAATAATCAGACAGTTTTCATTTGTCAGATGAAGACATTTGGCATTAAATCAACGATAGGTATGAAAATTATAATTTCAAATTCTTCATTAAATCCCAGAAGCCATATACCCTCCTCTATCACTTCATTTTTTAAATGATTTAAAAATCTTGAATGTTCATGAGTGCCTTTAAAATTTATAACACCTGCATTTCTGCCTTTAGTTTTAATTATCTTATACTTTTTACATTTCTGCTCTTATAATAAAGAATCCAAAGGGTACTGGGATAGAAGAGAAAAGAACTAAGCCAAAAACACAAGTCCATTCTCCCTTCATGGTTCACCTTCATTCTGCACATATTGTTTGACTGTGGACTGTGATGAGGGCCCTAAGTCTTTAGAGGACAAACAACCTAAGTGGAAGAGGGGGCAGGGTAGTACCAGAGCCTGTATAATGTTTAAATTATATGCAGGCTCTGCTATTTAATTAAGAAAGATTCCACTGCCCATAGACTGAGGCACAAGAAGCTTGAGCTGGAAACAGAAAGGGCCTCCTCAGAGAGCAGAAGTCCCTAGTAGAAGTCAGAGGAAGCATCATCCCAGGTCTCTCTGTTGCCAGCATAGGCTCCAAAATGTTCTGCCTCATTAACATGTCAAACCGAGTCCTGAATGTAGCCCTACAGTAGCAGCTCTGTATGTGACTTCTGATGGTGGGACTAGGGTTGTAGGACCCTCTGACTGTGACACATGTCATGCCTCTGGGTTGACCTGTCTGACTGAGCTGGTGTTCTCTCTTTCTCCTCTACATGATTTGCATGTACCTTCCTAGGTGTAAGAGGAAGACATTTCAGCCCATAATATATAGGTTACCATTTGCCTACTACAGTCATTGATCATGGGGACTAAAGGCAGAACCTTATTACCCCTTAGTTCTGTGGAGAATGACTCAGCCCAGCTAAAGAGATTCTGGCCTCAGCTATAGAACTTAACTGCTGTGGCCTTAACAACCAAAGATAAGAACAACAAACTTTTATCGAGCACATACTATGTCCTAGTCACTCTGCTAAGAGTTTCTTACACTTATCTCACTGAATCCTCACAAAAAAAACCCTCACATGTAACTACTAATTTTATTCCTATTTTACTGATGAGGAAAAGTAAGGCTCTTAAGAAATGTAGAATGTCACTACTGGGTGACAGAGTGATATTTCAAATGAGGCATCTTAAAACCATGTTCTTAACCATATGCCAGTCTGATTTGCAGACTATGAGACTCTATAATCCTCTGCTCAGACAAGGGATGGCTGATCCAGAAAAAACAGCAGTGAGTGAGATGCTATGAAGAAGTCAAAGGCATAATACAAATGATCCCTGTTCTCTAAGCCAAGGTATCACCAAAATAAGATATCCATATAAACTGCAATAAATAACAGCACAAGATATAATGTCACCAAACAGTACAACAGATCCTCAACATCCCAGACAGATACAAGATATTTCCAAGAAAAAATCTGAGGAAATTCATAAATTTTCTAAAAGCATGCAATTTTTCTCATAAATTGTAGCTATGCATAGCTTCATAGATGGGATTGCCTCATACCTGATCAGAATACAGACAAATTGAGCAGCAGATGGGGCTTGCTCAATCACTGAGTGACTCGCTCTGCTCATAGCTTCATAAAGATTAAAATTCATACTTCAGCACAGTTAATCCACGCTGGACCATGGGACAATCTCAGATTTTAAGTAGTTAGTCCTATGAATCCTATGAATAGTAATACAGGAATTCCAAGGTTTAGCAAGAATATTTATGGCCAAAATGAGAGGGGCAAGTAATACGTGAAAGGAGCTCAGAGATGAGACTTCACCAAGTCCTCTTCTGAATGACTTGCCTGCTTTCTCTTACCTGCTGATAAGATATTCACATCTGCCTGTAAGGCTGAATTACGCCCCTACAGACTCTTTTTGCCTTCCTTTCAGGTTTCAGGGCCTTTCATCAATGGGGTGTTGGGCTCCAAGAAAGCACACACAGAGCATTTTATACCTTTTACCAAGGCTGGGCAGAGGGAGATCAGTTACTGTTAATTACAGATGCTTTCTGTCATAATGGGCCAGATTTTCAAAAGAGTCTCAACTGCAAAGCTCCCAAATGCCATGCACAAACCTGGTAATGGCCCATGCAAATTGAATACTTAGTGGGTCTGTGTGCATTCCGTTCCAGGGACTGCCTTTGAAAATTTAGCCCCATAACTCCAAAGCATTTGTAGCATCATAATCTGTCATCATTAGCAACAATGCTTGACTCAATGCTCAACATTCTTATTAAGCATGCAATTATGAATGCAGACAATGTTTAATCACTTTTACAAAAATACAGCTGTGTTGTTGGGGAGCTGTCATTTACTGCTCATTAATGATTGATTTTTTTAACCATCTAAATTGTTTTCATGAGAACAGCAGATTAACTATAAAGAATTCATTATTGGTCATTAAGGAATATTAAAATGGAAAACCTTTACAAGCTGTGTCCTGTCTTGCCATGTTCAGATGGAGCTGAAGCACTCTTGCCAATATGGGGGAGAAAACAAAAAAATCTTTCTTCCAGACCTCTAGTAGGGAGATAAAGCTGAGGAAAGGTGGGGTGAAAAGAGAAATCAAGAAAAAGATCTCTTTTTGTTGAAATAAAACATTGATTACATTTTACAATGGCAATAATTTACCCCAAATAATTACTTCAGCTATTGTCCAGCTTGTTTAAGCATTGACTGAGCTGTGGGTACCAATCGATTCAGTGCAGATTGTTAATAATGGACTATTTTGAAAACTTACAGCTGTTTCTCCATACCTCCCATACACAGGAAGACACTCATTTCTTTCCCACACTGCACACCTAATTAAAGATGAGTCAGGGCATTATTTTACGGCCAAGCTTTTTATACCCTGGATACAGAGAGCTGGGTTCTGTTCCATCAAATGTCTCCTGAAAATACTGTGATTAAATACACTTATCCACTGCTACCTACAAAGAAAATAAGATGCAAAACCTATTAGGACATTAGAAAGATCAGATTGCTCAATGTCATGCCGTCCCTGGATTTCCAGTTTGGATGCTCAGTGCACCCGTACCTGGGACTCTTCATTTCCTCACTTGCTCAGTGGCTTCCAGGATCCAATCATGAGGAAGAAGTTTTTTCAATTACAGCTCTTTATTCTTCTTTTCTGGTGTGCCCTTACTCCTGGTCTTCTCTGAAATGTCTGTCTTAGTTCTTTTAAAAAATATTTTGGATTTTTTTCTGATAACAACTGTAATATGTATGTTTTGGAAAATATAGAAAAGCACATAAAAAAATTTAAAGCCATCTGTGGTCCTATACCTGGAAATAATCAGATATGATCACTGCTAACATTTTATATTTGCTTCCAGTATTTCTCCTATGAGCATGTTTATAATTGTATGATCTTGGATGAGTTACTCATTTGCCTGGTGTTCAATTTTCTTTTTCTGTAAAATAGGGAAATAGTAGTTCCTATTTCATATGGTGATTATGAAGATTAAATAAGTTAAAATTTGGAAGGCACTTTGAGAAGTGTCCAACATAAATTAAGAGCTATGCACATTCTAGCTATCATGATCCTATACATTTTTGAGTGAAAACAGTATTAGGAGAATTCAAAAGGAAAGAAGGACCTCTTACTAACTAGTAAAAATTTTAAAATGTTAAAATTCACAACTGATGCTGATGCTACAGGTCCAGGGAGCCCTACTCTGAGAACCACCGCCTTATGTTGAATAAGAGAAAAACCAACCACAAATGAGAAAAACACTAATAAGGAATGGGAGTATGTATGGTCTAGTGAGTCTCCCCTGGGAAAAAGTTATTGTGGGATTTCACTGGTGTTTGTGCCACCAGGAATGATGTGGTATGTGGAAATGACTTCTAAATAAAATAGCTGGTGACCTATCACTTTGGTTTGAGTCATTGCCAGGTAGTACATCTTTTAGTGACACATCCATATTGTTTCGCCCAGGATATTCCAGCATTATATGTGGAAGAAATCACCGGAAATTGGAAACTCAGGTCTGAGAAAAGCAGATACTCAGACTCCCTGTGCCTGGGAAAGCATTAAGGACAACTGAGGCAATCTATTGCTTTCCTTTACTTTGCTACCACCCTGAAGTGCCCAGGGATGGAGAAAAACAGTCAATGTGAATATTTATACATTTTAAAAAGCATCATACTACTGCTATTGTTTTACATTCAGCTTTTTCTGTAAGTAATATATTATGAGCATTTTTCCATTTCCTTTTAAAAAACTTTAATCCATTCTGTACTATTTCATCACATGGATGTACCTTACCTTTTAAGTAATCTCCTTCTGGGGGTATGTTTGCTTCATTAATTTCTCTATTATAAATAATTCTGTACTGATTTTTTATCCATTGTTCATCTTTTATTGCTTTCATGTACACAGCCAGAAATTTCAGATTTGGAAGTTGTGTGTCATAAGTATAAAGGGTTAAGAACCACTGCATCAGAATTTTGTAATTATAATAGAAACTCTAGAATAATTACAGCCAGTATTCATAAATACATTTTGTCCCAAAAAGTTAAAACTGGAAGACTTCCTTTGTCAAAAAATCCATCCAAAAATACGCTTTAAAGTATTTGTCTCAAAGATGTTGAGGTACAAACAATAACTCTACAAAAATGATTTGCCTGTTTCCACAGTAAATTTTGGTTATAAAGACACTGATGTGTTGGCTTATGGGACTGTTCTGGTGCCTGATACATGAAAGGATAAATAAATATTTTGAATCAATGAATGATTAAATGATGAAGCATTCACTTATAACATAAGCACAGGCCACTCAATATTGGTTAAATCGTACTGGTTAAAGGGAAATAACTAATATCTCATATTTTGTGGTAATATATACATTGCTGGAGTGCTGGAGTGTATTTGCTTTTCATATGTTCCATGGTGTCAGGCTGAACATAAGCTATGATGTTAGAGTTAGTCCCCAGGGGCGAGAGCAGAACATCTGAAAGATACACTTAGCTATCGTATTGAGACCATCTGCATTAAAACCATCCACTCCAACTCTTTTCTCATGATGGCTCCTAGACTGCTGAATCATGAGTGATTTCTGCTAAAAGGATCTCCTTTCATTAAACAATAGTACAAGAAGCCATCACTGTGGGTCAGGGATTCTCAATCTCTGCTGAATTTCCTGGGGAATTTTTTAAAAGAAGATAACTAAAAAAAAAACAAAAACAAAAAATATAAAACAAACAAACAAACAAAAAACCCACTATCAATGTCCAGGTCTCATCTCAGGATAATCAGAGCCACTGGGGCAGGAAGAGGGGTGGGCATCAGTTCTTTATACAAGGTCCTCCAATGTACCACCACAGTCAAGGAGCACTGCTTTAGAGAATGTAAACAGCCAACATAATACAACTTTAGGCACCCTATGACCTCAAGAGAACAGTGACATCAAAACATCTTCCAGACATCACTTTGCTATGTAGAGACAGATTCATAGTTCTTTCAGGCATTGACTATCTTTGTAAGTACTAGAAGTAGTATACCTCTCCAGAAGCCTGTCAAGTTGCAAACCTGTGGAATAATTTGGCAAAGAGTGACGAAGTGCCAAACTGGAACAACTCGTGGGCAATGTTGGCTCTAACGTGTAATTGGGATGAAATGGAACTATGGTACAAGTTATTTTTGGATTTCCAACATCTTTTTATAGTAACTACTAAATTGGAATGAAAATGCTTGCACTCAAATTGATAGTGCCTTTAAGTGGCAAGAAAATCTTTTCTGAGCTCCTTTGGACCCATTATCTCTGAGGTTTCTGTGATGTAAATTGTACCTTCCTGCAGAAAGCCACCATCCCTGAAGGCTGACAGTTCATCTCAGTTCACTGAGAGTCAAGTAAACCGGCAGTCACAACCTGCTCAAATTCCATAACTAAATAATGAAGGTGTGGAATTTTGACCTTGGACTGAGTTAATTAATTATTTAATTTACTTTATTATAGACATATATAAAAGTAAGTATGTATATAATATGTATACTTTATGCCTTCAAATTTGTGTATGTCATATATATGTCTTCTAGTAGGCTATCTACTTTGGATATTATATAAAGTAAGGCTCATACTTTGAACATAAAAAGTGTACATTTTTAAAAGTAAACAATGTTCATCACCCATGCTAAATCGTTATTAAACACATATTTAAAGATGATCAGTTTGAAGGGACACTACACAATTAGAATACCTAGGCTGTCCATCTGAGTCAATCCACTCTTAGCCATTGCCAAAAACTGTCATATGAATGAATACGGATGTCTGCACTTTTGGAACAAAGTTATCCAAACCTTCACTTCTAAAACTAGTCTTGAGTTCGATTGTGGGTGAGTTATTATGGCAGAGGAGACTGACTCTGCCAAATCGTTGCTCCCCCTTCCAAAATACAGAGCTGCTAATGAGTAGCAGCTGCCCTGCCAAAAATGACATTCCTGAGTCCCTGTGGGACCCTGTGACTCATTCTTGCCAATGGGATGTGTGTGAGGCAATGGGGCCAATGTGGTTGAGGAGTCAATGTGACTTCTCCAACCACTCTTTCCACAGAGTGTGCACACAGACTTGGGAAGCCACATATTGAAGATGATAGAACTGCAAGATGGAAAAAGACTAGGTTTCCTGACTCACTACTTGGAAGAAGGCTACTCATAAGCCAAGGATATCTATTTTGTACTTTATTGAATGAGGAATACATTTATATACTATTTGGACCACTATACACGTTAAGTGTTTTTACAGAAGCTAGCATCACACTCATGCAAATGATATATCTGTCCCTATTACAACTGATAAAAAACCTTTGAGTGATGCTTTGTTGTGAAAGCAACAAAAACTTTGTTGTGACTGGTCTGAAACATGTGTGACTTCTAGTAACTGTAAATAAGAGATTTAATGGGAAGGCATATTTTGCAACAGCTGACATTTAGAAGCATAAATATATTTAAAAAGAATAAAAGTGTTTCTTACTCAGATGTTTTAAATCTCTTGTGAAAATAAACCGAGTTTAGTAATTAGAGTTAACCTGTTTCTAAATGAAAATTTAGTTTCATATCGTCTGTTAACTGGAAATTAGCTCACTATTGTAGTTCTAAATATGGTATATATTCCCTCATATGTATTCTTTCAGATTTTTTTCATAGAATCATTTTAACACAGTATCTATTTTATGAAAAATAAATGAGTCATGTTCTATTGCTTCTCCAAATGTGAAAAAAAATTATATGAAAATATACACATTAAATTCAATATACTGCCAATAAGATTCCTTTTCTGGGAGAGGGTTCTACCTGAGAACCAGGAAGAAAAACAGGAGGTTTTATGGTAACACTATGTCAGTATCAAGGAAAGCTAGCAACAGAGCAAAAGAATCTCTCATGGCCTTCAGAGCTCTGAAAACCACTAGAAAGCTTCCCATCTACGCAATAACAAGGCAAGGCAAGCAGTTATCACAAAGAAATACTGCCAGGCCAGGCTGCATTCCGATTCCTGGTCTTTTGAATAACTAGATACTTGTCTCTAGACAAATACTAAACCTCTTTTGGTCTCATTTTTCTCATTTGTGTGCCATAAATAAGAATAGGTAATTCATATGGTCCCTTCAGATTCAAAACAAAACTTCTGTGAAAGTTTATCACTTCCCTAGAAAAAGACCTTTGTGAGGTATGGGTACCTGGTAGATCTAAAAGTCCAAGGGCTGCACAAGCATGAATATGACGGCCAGTCTTCCTAGGCAGCTACCATAGCCATGGTCCTTCAGTTGCACCTGGAAAACAATGTAATGGCATAAATGCAGGGACCAGGAAACATGATTATATTATTTAGCAAACAGGTTTCTCAGGCATGTAGTCATTGTAATGTAAGCAGTAACCTTTTAAAGAACATTTTATTTTCTTCAAAAATGTTTCCATTTGTATTTCTTCAGGAACTGAAAACATGAACATTTCACTTAGGACCACCTTAGATAATAAACATTTCTGGAAATTTTATTAACATTTGAAGCATTACTGTTAGAACAAACCAAATAATTAAATAGTAGAAGGTATATTACATCAGATCTGCTCATGTAGATTTTCAGGTAATCAAGACTCACTTTCAAACATTAAAAAAAAAAAAATCAATGGATAAAGCAGAGAAGTCATTTCCTCTGAAAAAACTAGGCTTATATCTTTTTATGGGACTGAAGCTGGGCACTGTCATATGAATAAATAAGATCAATAATGGTACATCCATGAACAGCCACTCCTGGAATTTCAAGACCTTAGAAAATGTTGTAAACAGACACACAAACACAAACACACAACATACACACACACAAACATACACACAGTATTGAAATAAATAAGCCAAGCCTGCAAAGCCTTCAACAACAGAGTTCTTAATGGAAATGATAGACCTTTAATGATAGAAACATTAGCAAACCCTGTAACAATATTGTAAATCATTTCTAAGTAACAATATTGATAAGACAAGCCTTTCGAAACCACCCAGGACACCTCTTTAGCTAATTAAAACCAGAGAGTGGCTGTGGCTCTTTTGTCATTTACAATATTGTAGCTCTGATCATCCCACAGTGAATGATTTTACTTCAGTAATAACCCTGATCCAACATTCGTTAGCAATTACCACATCAGACTTTATCTACTGGTAACAACTGGTTCGGAAGATATTGCCCTGCATGCATTAATTTCATCATGCTAATAAAGTTCCCTGTTATAAAAAGCAAAAACATATTAACCTGTCTAATGCAATATAAGAAACATATATATCTTTCTTGCAAAATGATACACCAGCATTTCATTTTTATTTCAAGACTTAAGTGGGTAAAGTATATTAGAACAGAAAGTAACAAGCTATAATCTTCAGTGAACACAATAACATAACTAAGTCCAACAAATTTTCCTGTGAGTAATTGCAGCTATTGTAATTTATAAACATTCAATTACCTTGGAATTTGCATAACAATGCAAGACTGCTCATTTCTAAACACTGAACACTGAAATAGAAGTATATGCATCTCGTCTTTTCTGCAAAAGTCAGGGAGGCCACTGCTGGCTCCAGTTAACTCTCTTGGAGCACCTAGCACATGTGGACTGATGGGAACATTTAATAAAGATGCAGATGTGACTGAAAATGACCAGCCAGGATCTCCAGGACACAATCTGTGGCATACAGCAAGAAATCTATAAGGACTTGTTGAATGAAGTAGGAGGGGAGCTCTGTTATCTTACTCAAGAGTAGTAAGCACTATTTATAGATCCAGGATCTATCCTGGAGACCCTTTTCCCTTCCGCCCTCCTCTTGCCCTCCTGAGCTTGCACAGGTACCATCTCTATGTCTAAGTGAGGAATTCAAAGCAGGGATGCCCCAGCTTTCCCCTTGATTAGCACCCCTCGCCTCCACTTCACTAACTTCCCTGTCCTACATTGATGATGGGACACATTTGCATGATCTATTTCTTCCCCTTCAACCCCAAGTTCCCTACTGGCTTGATCTGTTTTCAGAATGTTAAATTTGAAGGGCTTACTAATTGTTAAAATCTCAGTGGAAAAATGAATCATGTGATTAAAACTACTATGTGGCCTTTCTCTCTTCTGTCTCCAAGGACTCATCCAAAACCGTCAACCCTTTATTAAAGCAACACCTTCACTTTCTAGAGAAAATGACTTCACGGTGTTACCACTAACTGTGGGAAGCCCAATCACTCTTATGAAAATTTTTTTTAAGTGTCTGCAGCTTAATTAAACCCTAAGCAAATTAAACACGTCACCCTCTTCTGTAGGTAAAGCAGAACACTCACATACCCACTGTTGGGGCAGTTGAATGCATCTGTACACAAAGAGCCTGGGCTCTTCCCTGAGACACCAGTCAAAGGAAAGCATTGTACAAGCTAAAGCCTATTCCCATTCAGCACCTGGGGATTTGTCCACACCAACCAGGCAGGAATGCTCAGCTCTCTCTGGGGAAATGTGGTATTCACACATACAGTGCAGTACTGGCTGGAGGCCTAGCAAACAGTCACAGGAGTGCGGAGGATTTATAGACTGAAAATGAGCACATAGACAGCAGCTCCGAGTTCTCTCAGAAAACATGTGTGCAGCGACTGAACTGTGGGAGGCCTACGTGGGGCCCCCAGAGCTTGGCAGAGCCTCTAGTGGGGACCCAGTGTGTATGTGAACGTATCAGAGCTATAAATCTGGTAACAGACACTCCTTTGTGACCTTATGAAGACTGTGAAAGACAAAGGCATTTTAAGATTGCAATGTCAGGAAAGAAGGAGGCCATTTGGAAAGCTGACTTTCATATTGCTGATTTTCAACTGCTTCTAGGCTTCTTGGGTCTACATAGAAAAAGCCAGAGTGGGGCTTCACCTACAGCCCAAGACAGCTGTGTCCACAAGGCATGACCTTCTGGAGAGAGCTGCACCTCTAAAGGTGAACACATTAATCTGATGACAGTTTCTTGTTCAGTTCAAAATGCTGGCCAAGGACATCCCTTTAAAATTTATAATGAAACTTTTAAAAAAATGTATCCAGCCAAAATTTTATACCATTTCATTAAATTTTATATTCTTCATTAATTACAGGGTCACACTCAGAAAGCAACAAGTAGGCTGCAAGAGGTAGGTAGGGATGGAGGTCGTGGATCCCAGTAGACAATTAATTGACTGTACTTTGCAATTCATGGCAAAACATTTTATTTACTTGTCCCAACACATACTTAGCCTACCCTCTGGGCTTCCATAGCTCTTTCATTCTGGAATCCAGTTCCAGAGTTTATGGCCTCCGAGGCTTATGGTCCTTCCCAAGGAAGTTCTCTTCACCTATTAATATGCATCATGGTTCTTCTTCTCAGAATGGTGGTTCTTGTGAAAGCCAAGCAATTTTTATGTAATCTACACCTGAATGGGAACTTTACAATGGATTTGGGTTCTGTATTTTGGTATCAGTTTTACCTGTCTATTCTACTTAGTCTGAAGAAAGAGGGGAAAGGAAGAGATAAAAATAATCCTACTGTAATTTTCATATCAAATTACAAAATTTTAAATTTCATATCAAATTTTCATATCAAATATTTTCAAGCAAACAGACAAGCTCTGTTGCTTGTCTTGTGGTTTTTGAGCAGACTATTGGTCTGAAATTCTAGTCCATTAACAGTTCATTTGCCTATACTTAATTTTACAATGACACCAGACAAAAACAGCAAAAATAACAACAAAGAAAACTCACAGGCCTGTTGCTCTGAAACTGAAGTTGCCAGTCATTTTATTTCACAGTATTTCTCAAGCCCATTTCTTCACTCACCAATAACTCACCCACCATTGTTACAGAGGATTTTTGACCACCCAGGAAAGCAAATGCTGTCATCCTGACTTTACTGCTCAGAAGATACTTGTCAATTAAAGTCACCTCCAGGTCTTAGCTAGGAACAAAGACCAAATTCCAGAGATTCCCCTTGTCTTTCCCAAAATGGAGTTAGAGCTCATTTCCTAATTTTTTTCACCATTTACATTTGGCCACACCGCAACTTGTAGACATGGGGTTACTATTCACATATTAAAACTTGCTTATTTCCAAATAAACATCCATAGCTTTAAATGCTCATATAGCCACTATATAGATTTAAATAATTCTAAGATACATCTTATATCTTGTGTAAGATATATCTTGAGTAAGCATATTAAACAAATGCCTTTTTAAGTAAGAACTATTTTCAGTGCTGCCTTCTGGTTTCTGAGTCATCTCTGTCTCGCTCTTATAACTATATGTCTCCCAAAAGCCATCTAGTACCATAACATACATATATATTTATAAAATGCTAGTAATGTTTCATTCCTGCCTTTTTTACATGAAGGGCTTGGAAATATATGTTTTCTATGGACTGCTGTTTTTAACAATAATAGAAAGAGGGGAAGAATAATAATAATGGCAAATATTCCTTGAGTTTTCATAATGTACCAGGCACTGCACTAAGCATTTTTCAATGTACACAATCTCACTTAATTCTTAATATACCTGTCTAGAAGGTAGGTACTATTATGATTATTACCATTTTACAGAGGAATAAACTAAGGCATATGCCTGTGGTCCAGGGATAACCAAGAATTCAAACTTACATCTTCCCAGTTTCAGCATCCAAGTTCTAAACTGCTGTATACCAGGGCATAGAAATAGGACTACCAGCCATAGCTTTGACTTAGAGGGGGGGGAACAAAAAACGTAGCACAAATGTGTATATCATAAGTATGACATACATATTTAGACTGTATAGTTTAAAACTACAAATATTTTTTCTCTTTGCCAGTGTAATACATGCATAATTTGTGAATTAAAACTTAATTGAGCACACCATGATTGGAAAATTACAAAATACTTAAAACTTACATCAACTCAGCCTCCATTCCATTATCAAGAGAGAGGCTGTTTATGCATTCCTATTCTGGCAATTAAGGACAAGTATGTTTTCTAAAGTGAAGGTTATTTTGACTTTGATAAGTATATAGCTCACTGTCTGATCATAAAGGGCCAGAGCTGAAGAAGAATAACAGAGTACTTTGTCCTTCACTTCAGGCATGATGGCTGGACCTCCGTGGTTGTAAATTTTCCAATATTTGATGGCCACAGTGTCAGCAGCAAAATGATGCATAATAAACACAACAATACATTATGTGCCACTTCTTGACTTGGTGCCGAGTCAGGGAAGGAAACAGTCTACTTTTGAATGGGTGTTCTGAAATAACACACAGACAGTGTGTATTGGAGAGATCTGAAGAGGAAAATTCAAGCTTCTTTTTCATCCCACAGTCTCCAAACTATTATTCTTTGAAACTGACTATCTGGAGTGATGTGAACCCCTTTACCACCACCGTTGGGTTGATATCAGGAAGCACAGCGTCCACAGGCTTTCATCTAGCCAGGAAAAAGGAAACAGAGCTTATTTTGAACAGGAAGGAAAAAAGATATTTGATGAAAGCCAAAGAAACAAGCTGCCTAAATCCTTTGACAAAGTAGAGACGAAAGGAATGAGCTTGTGAAATAATGTGGAGACACATTTTTCTATCATGTTTTTAATCATGATTGAATCATGTTTCAATCATGTTTTTAATTGTCCATTCTATCCAGAACATTTGTTGCAAAGTCCAAAACCTTCCTTTAGAATGAAAAGAGAAAGTATTGTTCTAAGGCGTGCATCTATAAAATGGTATTTCTGAGGCACTGAGGAAAATGAAAGCTCTAGAAAGGGAATGATGTGGGGGAGGCACACATGGCTTCACCTTTGACAGCTGTCTCCCCATGGAACCAAACCAGAGACTCCTGGTGCAAGTGGGGACCTCAGAAGTCACTGGGTCCATCCCTGACATTTTATAGATGACAGGCTTAAAACTGTTAAGTAACGTGCCCTAGGTCCTGCTTGGGGTTGCACTGTCTGAATAACAAATGGCAAATGGACAAAAACAAAAGAGATTATAGTCTAAGTTACTCAAAGACTTTCTGTAAGGAAAATGGTAGTTATGGTCCCTAAGTCCTATTATCTACCAAAGCTTAATATAAGACATCCAAGAAATATATACAGATACATAGATAGATTCTCTATATATGTATTATTGTGTATATATGTGTGTGTGTGTGTGTGTGTGTGTGTGTGTATATATATATAAAATTCTTGCTTTAGAAAATGTGTGTGTATGTATGTGTATATATACATGTAAATATATTTGCATGTATATATATGCATATACATGTATATATATGTGTGTGTATATATATACACACACACATGTGCACACACACACACATTTCCTAAAGCAAGAATTTTTTAAAATCAGATATTCTGTGAGACATACTTGCTTTATTCAGTATCGGTTTAGGGTTTCTCACTCAGTTGTTCTTTCCAGAAAGGATATTTTTAAAGTCCAGGAATTATTCTCAGGGAGTAAAAGCAAAACCGAACATTTGTGTCCCTCTTTCATTTGAATCTCACATCAAGTCTGTAAGTGCAAAAGCACTTACATGTCAACCAAATTCTTACTGTCAAATCTAGATGAACAGAGATTGCAATAGAGAAATGTAGATATTTTCTAATTTCTCTGTATTCCACCATCTTACCCTAGGAGCTCAAAAATGACTCTACTCTTTTCTGGAAAAAAGCACAAAGGAAAATTCCTGGGTTGTGTGGCTTCTCATAGTCCCAGAACTTGGGCTACATCTGAAAGTTCCAGATGACATCTGTCCAGCACTAGACACTGGCTCCAATTCACAAGATGGCCCACCCAAGACTAATCTCCATCTACAAGGTCCCTTGGAAGACGGGATGGACTCCATACAGGCCAGAGGCTGTGCATGCTCCCTTCAAATCTTAGAACTTCACTCAGGAAACATTAAGGTGGACATTCAAAATGGTAAAAAGACTCCTTCTGGCCTAGGCATCCCCTCACACACTTTTCAATATCATAATTTATCCATAAAACAATCAGAGTTCAAGAGGATAATTATTTCCCTAAGACTAAGTTCACTATGACTTGGTCTCCAAGAACTTCTCGTTATTATCAACTATTGTGGGTCAGTCCCAACTATATAATCTTTACAAGTGTTATATTCATTCATATTTCTATAAGCAATATAGCTTCTTGTTCCCTGCACCCTGGGCAAATTGCCTTCATATTCCCCACTCCCACCCCAGCCTGGAGTAATAGGAAACATTCAAATTGTTCTCTCAGCCCTCATGCCTCTAATGATCACCGACAAAATCCTACCTGCAACCAGGACTCTCACTATAGGGGTATAGTTTCTGAGATAAACCAAAATTTTTCTTCTCCTTCTTCCCATCCTTTCTTGGTCTTCATTTCATACAGATAATAGTGTGTGGAAAAAACATGAAAGGAAAAGTGATGTTCACCGAAGAGCAACTCAAGGCATATGTGTGGACACAGGGAAAGGCCGCCCCTCCCAACTGGGTGGGTGTGGGTGATAGGTCATGTGTGTATAACCTCAGATCTTTGTTAGCACCAGCAGCTGGAACACATTTCTCTCTCCAAATAGCAGGCTCCTGGAGTTTCTCAGCATCAACAACAAGAGAACCTGTCAAAGAAGTGGGCCAGAGCTACAGCTCTGCTTCTCATACACATGACTGAAGAGAAGCAAAAGAAAAATATCATTTCACTGCTAGCCTAGTTTGATTCTCTCTCTCTCTATATATATATATGTGTGTGTGTGTGTGTGTGCGCGCGCACACGCGCACATGTATATATATGTGTGTGTGTGTGTATATATATATAAATATATGGCAATTCTGTGTACAGGACTACAGTACTGGCCAGACTCCTTGGACATCTAAGGATGAATGAGGCCCAGTCCTGCCCTCATGGATATTACAATTTAGACAGAAAGATTTACATAAATGTTCATATGACTAGCTACAAATTCATAAGCCAATGTCCAAATTAATGTACCAAGAACAACCCTAAAATAGAATAATTTTTCTTTTTTCTTTTAAATGAATATTCCACATGAAAGTTATCTATTTCAAAACACTCATCATAATAAGGTAACACATTCTAATTCACAGTTATGTTTTTCAAAAGTTTTGAAATCTCATTGTAACTGCTTTCTGAGTAGTTGCGCAAGGATAGGGAAAAACAGGAGTGGGGAAGGGAGGAGTATTTTCTTCCTAATATTGTTTAGAATTATAGACTTGTGATGGTAATACGAAAGACACTGCATCTTAATCAGTTCTATTTCTTTAAACATTTCTATAGACAATGTATCTTCTTATTGCCTGCACCCTGGGTAAACTGCCTTCATACCCGCCACTGCCCAGCCTCTGTTTGCCACTGTTTCTGAAGGGTATATTCGTCCCAATAGGCTCAAAGATGTCCAATCAATCTTTTTCACCAATTGCAGAGTCAAATCTAATGAATAAAACAGAGGGTCAAGCATAGCAATACTACTATAGGGCAGAAAGCAAGTACGGCTTTACACTGAGAGTGTGGTTGTCAAATACTGCCCCTGACAGCAATACCACCAGAAGACTCACTTCAATGTTTTAAGCAAAAACAGAATTGTTGAAATACTGTATAATCTCCTATGTTAATCTAGGCAGACCATGAACAAAAGACTGCAAAATCTCAGTGGTACAATGCAAAAAAAAAAAAAAATCCATTTCTCACCCCTGCTGTAATTTTTCACATGGATTATCACAGGGACTCTACTCCTTGTGACATCACATGGGCCTAGGCTGACACAAGCTCCATCTCAACATTTGCTTCCATGATGGTGGTGGCAGTGTAAGTGGATCTTTTAAAGCTTTCTCCTGGGAGTGACACAAGCTACTTCTGCTCATATTCCATTAGTTAAATAAAGTCACATGGCATACTCAACTTCCAAGCGGTTGGAGGAGTAGAACCCTGCTAGGTTTTTGGCAGGAGAAAGGCCAGAATATTGGTGGGTAGCCTCTGACTAACACTTCTCATGTATTATCATTCTTTAAAGAAGCCAAGAATCCTTTGTATGTAAATTTTGGAAAATTAGTTTGTAAAAAAATCCTCACTATTATATGGTCACTACCATGTGTAAGATTTCTTTACATGCCAGAGCTACAACACAGTTGAAGAAGCCATTTTTTTTACATTTTTATTTATTTATTTATTTTACCCAGGCTGGAGCGCAGTGTTGTCATCTCGGCTCACTGCAACCTCCGCCTCCCAGGCTCAAGCAATCCTCCTGCCTCAGCCTCGAGTACCTGGGACTACAGGTACACACCAATATGCCTGGCTAATTTTCTTTTTTTGGTTGAGCTGAGATTTTGCCACATTGCCCAGGCTATTCTTGAACTCCTGGACTCAAGTGATCCACCCACCTTGGCCTCCCAAAGTGCTGGGATTACAGGCATGAGCCACCACACCCAGCCTCAAGAAGCCATCTTAATGCTTGTGGTTCACTTTTAAGGTGCAGGCAGGTTTGTGAGAGGCATCTGTATGACTGACAGGGGATGTGGCACGGTGTAAAGGAGGTAGGAAGGAAGCTGCCATGCCAGGCGGACTCACCTGTGCCAAGCACTGCTTTACACTGTACACACAATATCTCATTTACTCATCCCAACAGCCCTGCAAGGTAGGTTTCACTATCGTCATTTAAAAACTGAGAGAAATGGAGACATAGCTTAAAATACACTGTGCCAGCCAATGTCATGAGTCATAGTGTTCAAACTCAGATCTGCCTAGTTCCAGAACCCATGGAGTGAGTCACATGAGGAAGTCCAAATGATACAAATTCCCTTTTTACTTTATCTGTATCGCTTTTATTGCCCTTCTAATGAGGCAACTGATTTTAAAATGAGAACATGCTAAGCTCTGTAAGGACAGGGACTTAGCTCCATTCATCTTTGCCTGACTGGTAATGACTAGCAAATACTACAGCACATAGTAGGTGCTCAAGAAAATACTGATTGTTAAATGCATGTTGAAAGTCAAGGTTATTCTCCAAAGCAATATTCCCTTTCTCTTCTCCCACACAGCACATGAAAGGAGACTGATAAGATGAAATGTTTCCTTAGTGATTCTCAAGAAAGGCAAAGCTGTCAACATTTTCTTTCATCAAGAGTGTTCACTAAGCGAGAAAATAGAGAGCAGCTCCCACAGTGCAGACCTGAACGTGAAGATAATGGTCAGCGGGGCTCTGCAAGCTGTCTGAGTTCCCACTCCCAACAAGCTCTCGACAGGAACACGCCCGCCAGAGAAACAGAGGGAACCTCATTTTGCTAGGAAACAACACACAGCTGCACAGTTCCATACTCCACTTAATCCCAGACACAAATTCACAAGTTGTCCTAAATGTATCACTCTACTGGGAACTCTTTTTTCTTTTCTATTTCTAACCAGTGTCTGCCATTTGATATATCACAAATAAATCATGTTTCTCTCTCTCTCTCTCTCTCTCTCTCTCTCTCTCTCTCTCTCTCTCACACACACACACACACACACACACACACACACACACACAGGCACACACAGAAATGCACACACAATTTTTCTATCTTAAAAAGGTTACATTCATTTTGGGTCTCCTCTAAAATTGCCATGCAGGCCACTGGAAGTCACAACATGATACTGTTTCTTTACAAAGATACTATGATTTTCTCCTGTGGTGAAGGATTAGTACTGTCACTGCTCCATCCAAGAATCCTTTCTAAGCTTTTTCTTTTAAGCACATAAGCTATGCTTTTAATTGGGCATTTCATTAGAGAAGAATGAGGCATAAAGGAAAACAAAATGGTCTGTAGTCATTTGTTTCAAGGAGATCATTCCAATCATCAACGTCTGAACCCTGCTGAAGTAGTTTCAATTTTTCTTCTCAGCCATGGGTAAAGCAATGTTGACAACACATATTTCTCTCTGTCAAAACATTTCACTTACTCGGCAATCTGTAGACAGTTTGAGAGTCGTATCACCAATGAGCAGCGCTGGAGCATTCTTCCTATTATTTTAAAATCAAAATGGCACGTGCCTCGTGAGAGGGGCACAATGTGGGCCGAGATCCAAATTGAAAAGAAAAATGCTAACAGAGTCAGCAAGTAAAGAGGGCACTGTAAATAACAAGCCTCATTACTGAGCCACAGAGAAAGATGGGCCAGCCTGCGTCCCATTTCATTGTGAAGGCTTGATCCTGTTGCCCTTGGATTTCAGTCTCCTGGGAGGCCACTCAGGGATTTCTGTGAGATGTGTGCTCAGTAGCAAGCTTAGGTTCACACTTGTGAAACGTGTTTCATACCATGAGATCTAATTAAATGATGATTTTGGCTGGGAGTGAGAAGAGGAAAAAGCAGAATCACTGGTTAAAGAATTGCATCCAAGTACCAGAGAAAGATGGGCCCTGTAGATGTGCCTTGCATAGGACAAAGAACGGGAGACCGAAACTAGACACACACTGACAAAATTGCTTATGGCTCCCACAGATGACTATGGTGTAACCATCTCAAAGTGGCTCATTTTCAGTGAGAAATATTTAAAAGAAATAATTCTGGAGAAAATGGCAATGTACTGCCCAATAATGACTTCAGGCTGCAAGATAGATACTGCAGGGCATCCAGGCCACAGCACTGGCAGAAAACAAACACTGAAGCAAAGCTGAAACACTTACTGTCAAGGCCAGTGAACATTCACCAGTCACGAGGTTCAGATTCATGGGCATTATTGTTAAAGCTCGTGGGAGAAATACACCCAAAAAGCAGCAAAGAGAGTCGATAAAAACCCTCCAAGCAATCACCGGCTCACCAATGGGCAGCCACACATCTCCCCAGGCTCTCAGGGGAGAAGGCAGTTTACCAATTATTGCTGATTGGCTGGGTTAGTGAAATTGCTCAGACCTCCTACCATTCACCTCCAGCCTATCTTTCAATATATCTTGCTGGGGTCTACTAAACTTATTTTCATCCATTTATAAAAAGGTCAACTAGGCTATGTGTTGACTTGACAGTAGTAAGTGCTTCTGCTATCATCCCTGATGATGTTAGTCTGGCTGGGTTTCACAAGTGTGCAGTTTATCTTTCTTTAAAAATTCCATGATTTTTCAAGTTGGTACCAGCTGTTATCACTTTAATAGAGATCACTGTATAATTTCAAAATATCTTACTCTCTCTAAAACTATTCTGATGCTCAAAACCGTCTGGAGCTCAGAAGTGTGCTTCTTGCTTCTGTCTCTTATATGGATGGGTTAATTAACTGCAGTCATCATGCTATTAAGCTGGGCTACAACCCAGGGACCACACTTTACCACAGCCACTGCCTTCCAGCATGTTCCTATAGACACACACAGGTACGCACAAGGGGGTATATGATGATTAATATTGAGTGTCAACTTGATTGAACGATGTAAAGTATTGTTCTAGATGTGGTTTCATTGCCTGAGCAAATTAACACATCTCCTGGTACCTGGTGT